TGTAGGTGATTAATGGGTTGAACTTTTTTTTCAAATGTTTAATTTGTATTTGTATTTACTTTTCTTTGAACTACCTGTTAATGTCTTCTCTCAGATTTTGCATAGAATCATTTGTATTATTCTTATTTATTCATATATTTAGTATACTAATTTTTGATTAATTATTGATGGTACCTATTTCTTACCCATTTATTCTTCAATAGTTTCTTTTGATAAACAAAAGTTCAACATTCTAATTTCAATACAGTCAAATTATACTTTTTATGATTTTTACTTTTTGAATCTTAAAAAAATTATCCTTCTTTTACTCTTTTATCATAAAGATGTTTTCCCATGACATGTTCAAAGAATTTTAGAGTTTTTCTTTTCACATTTAAGTCTTCAATCTGCCTGGGTAAGGTTTGTGCATGATATGAGATGGGGATGCAATTATGCCAACACCAGGACCATTGTTGAAAATATCTTTTCTCTACTGCAATACTAACTCTGTCTTATGTCAACTTACCATATATGAATTGATTTATTTGGGGCTTTGTGTGTATTCTGTTTTATTGATCGTTTTACCTTATTCCTGTGCTAATAACACCCTGTGTTAATTTCCTTCTCCTGAAGCGATTTTTTTTTTTAGCTGTGCTTCCAGTTAGCACTTATGAGTGGTAAATTCTCTCTTTGTCTGAAAATATCCTTATTACGTCCTCTGTGCTGAGTTTCACTTTTAAGTATTATGAGATTTTAATTTGATAGGTGTTTTATTTTGAATGTATGTTCCCAAACATTTAGCTTATTGTACTATGGAATGAGTATGCTTTTTGTGTGGCTTTTTTTTTTCTTTCTTGTTTTCCTTACTTCTGACTCTCTCTTCATGATAATTTACTTTTTAACACTAGTTACTTCCCCACCAAGGGATCCCCTGTGAGAAAGAAAACCAAAATGGAGAAATTCAGAGTTTCTACCTTCTCTTGCTGAAGTCATATTTCTTTCTTCTACATTCATTGTTTTTCTTTCCTGCCTGGAAATTGATGACTAGTAGGCTTGAAATCTATATCATAACTTCACTTACTCAGTATGAATATAGCCAAGAATGGTGTAAGGGGGTAGTAAATAGAGCATTGCAACTGTGAGAGAAAAATTATTGGCATAAGGAAACAAATGCAATGAGCCAGAAAGCAGTTCGAGCTATACCAGTATGAGAAACAGTCACAAAATCCTATGCGACCCACAGAGATAAACAAAAGTTGACAAAGGCATTTTGCAGAAATCAGTGTCTTTCGCTCTACTCAGGAATTATGACTATGAAACATAGAATCTTAGAACACTTAATAATCCTCGTTCAAATGTAAATAATTAATGTTCATTTTATAGTGGAAGAAAATCAGTTCTGTAAAAACTGAGAGACTTGCTAATATCAATTGCCAGCTAAGCAATACTGAGTGTCTTAAGCCAGTGATTGCCATTCTGTCTCCCAGCACCAAACATCCTGACCTTTTCAGCATAGGAGGAGTCATCAAAACATCACTGAAATGGGGTTAAGAATCTGGATATGTGTTAAAATTGCTTGTATACAATACAAGAAAAACTAGATAAACATCATAAGCTATAACTTATCATTAGCTTACTCCAAAGATTATAATGATAATAGCTAGCTGATGATAATGACTAACTGAACATGTACTGTGTGTTAGGCATGGTGGTATTTTACATGGATTATTTCATCTCATCCTCACAATAATCAAGTAAGGCATATACGATTATCAACATTTTTATATTAAAGAAGAGGAAAGTGAGGCTCAGGGAGACTAAGAAATTAGTTAGTTGAGATAACCCCATATATAAGTGGTGACAATGAATTTCTAACTCAGTTATATCTGCTTAATTCCAGGTAAGACCCTTCCTTTTTAATATCATGAAATAATCTCACTAGAAGTTTCTTTGGCCTGTTTGATGTCATCTACTCTATCTTTATCTTCATGAGAATTTATTGAGCAAAAGTGATTCAGGACGGTATTTGCATTAGACAAAACTCCATGTTGCTAATACAGAAAACCCAACTCAAGCTGGCATCAACAAAAACAGACTTAGATAATGCGCCCACTCCCAGATGAAAACTGGAACCAGGGTAACATTATGTACTGACTGGCTCAGGCATGGATGATATACCCATCTGTGTACCACAAATGGTGGTGGGGGCAAAATGGATAACTTGAACTACGATCTGGACAATTACTGAAGCCAGGGATGGGGACAATCCCATCAAAATTGAATGGCTGTCCCTTTATCTGGGGAGGGAGAAAATGGCAAAACAGAAGCACAAGAAGATGAAGAAAAATAAATCAGAGTCAAATAAATGGAATCTTTACTTCCTCTCTCAGTAAAATATTGACACACAAATAAAACTTTAAAAAAGATTATGGCTACATTCTCCATCTCCAAAAAATTCTGGCTGGGCTTAGTGGCTGATGCCTGTAATTCCAGCACATTGGAAGGCTGAGATGGGAAGATTGCTTGAGGCTAGGGGTTTGCAACAAGCCTGGACAACATAACCAGACCCTGTCTCTACAAAAGAAACAAACAAACAAACAAAAAAATACCCCAATGTGCTGGTGCATGCCCATAGTCTTAGCTACGCTGGAGAATGAGGTGGGAGAATTGCTTGAGACTTGGGTGGTTGATGCTGCAGTGAGCCATGATCACACCCCTGCACTCCAGCCTGGGTGACAGAGCGAGACCCTGTCTCAATAAAAAGAATTCATGGACAATGTATGAATTCATTATATATTGTGGCATTTTAACAAATTATCCCCAAATTTAGTTGCTTAAAAGAATAAACACATTTCTGTGGGTTAGCAACCTGGGTGTGACATAACTGGCTTAGGGTCTCTCATCAAGTAGCAGTCAAACCGTTAATTGGGGAAGGATTTGCTTCCAAGCTGACTTACACGGTTGTTAGTGGATTTCAGTTTCTCCTGGGCTGTTTGACTTAGCACTTCAGTTCCTTGACATGTGGGCCTCTCCACATGGCCACTCACAACAGGCAGCAGTCTTCCCACAGGGCAAACAAGCAAGAGAGAGAAAGAAGACACCCAAGACAATCTTTTAATAACCTCTTCTTAGAAGTGACATCCCATCACTTTCACCGTATTTTATTCTTTAGAGGTGAGTCCTTAAGTCCAGCCTATACTCAAAGAAAGAGGATTACAGGAAGAGGTGACTACCAGGCAGAAAGAAGGTGGGGATTCCTATGGACTGCTGTGGACTGAATGTTTGTGTTCCCTCAAAATTTTGATGTTGAAATTCTGAGCCCTAATGTGTTGGGATTTGGAGATGGATGCCTTTGGGAGATAATTAGGTCATGAGGATGGAGCCCTTATGAAGGGGATTAGTGCTATTATAAGAAAAAACACAAGAGCTTGATTTCACTGTCTGCCATGTGAGCACACAATGTGAAGAGGGCAATCTGCAAACCAGACAGAGGGCCCTCACTAGATACGGGATCAGCCAGCACCTTGATCTTTGACTTTAAACCTTCCAGAACTGTGAGAAATAAATGTTTGTTGTTTAAGCCACATAGTCTGTGGTAATACGTTAGAGCAGACTAAGACAGGGGTCACCTTAGAAGCTGCCTACCGTAATGTGTGCATTTGTGTATATTAGCATGTGTATATGGATGGGCAGGAGGTCTGTGGGTGCACATGGCATAGGGCTAATAGTGTAATTGAGATCTTACATATTTTCCTGTTAGGAACATTAGGGGAGCGAAACAGTAATCAAGGTCCCTGTAGGGAACAGATGGAATTCACAAATTGGGAATTTGAACTGGTTTAATAAAGGGACTGTTTACAAATATGTGGGCAAGTACAAGAAAATTACAATGCACCGGGCGCAGTGGCTCACGCCTGTAATCCCAACACTGAGAGGCCAAGGTGGGCGCATCATGAGGTCAAAAGATTGAGACCATCGTGGCCAACATGGTGAAACCCCTTTTCTACTAAAAATACAAAAATTAGCTGGGTTTGGTAGTGCGTGTCTGTAGTCCCAGCTACTCGGGAGGCTGAGGAAGGAGAATCATTTGAACCCGGAAGGTGGAGGTTGCAGTGAGCTGAGATCACACCACTGTACTCCAGCCTGACAACAGAGCAAAACTCTGACTCAAATAAAAAAAAAAGAAAAAGAAAAGAAAAGAAAATTACAAGGAATCGGGCTTGTCACCTGTCCCATCACTTCCTCTGGGCCTCAAGCAGTCACGTGAAGGAGAAATGAACACAATTGGAAGAATATATTTGTATGAGAAGACCTTTGTCAGATGTATGACCTTCTGTTAAAGGATATGGTCAGCTTATGGCATCTCCAAAGAGAAGGTGTCAAGGAAATAAATACCTTGACTTCATTTTCCTCCAGTCTCCTCCTGGCACTATCCATTGGCTAAAGCCAACTGGCAGCCAGAGGGCAATGGAGTCTACTGATGTAGGACAGCCTCCTGGGAACACATAGTAATGTGTGAAGAGTGAAGAGTAGATCTGGAGGGACAATCAGAAGATACCCAGTGCAGAAAACAAATGTACTTAAGAGTAAGAAATCATATCCATAGTAGGCAGGGAGGAAGAAACAGGCTTACATGAATAGTTGTTTACAGCAAGCTAAATGGAAGAGTTTGCTGACAGAGAAGGATATTTAACATCAAAACAAGCTTTCAAATAATTGCCTCTCTTGAAGATCCTTCAAAATATGAAACCACATATACATATCTAAAATGATTTGGGAGAAATTGTACTGATGAAAGGAGCGCGGGTGGCTTATATGGCTTTGAAGGGTCCTCGTAACTTGAGGATTCAGTGTTCTAGCAGGAGTGATGGAAATCAGGGAACAAGATCTCCTGCAAAATATTCACAACTCTTTGAAATGGAAATTAGGCTATTCCAATTTAGAAATCAAATTAAGGCAAATATTCAGGGTGTTAACAGGCTGTGCTCTTGCCTGTTTGAAGTGGCGGCTAAAGGAGAGAGGCATGCTTTTTCCTGGATGAAGCAGGATCTCTCTCAGCCTGTTTTCATCTTTACTTAGCACCTGCTGGCTTGGAGTGGTGTCGCCCAAGCAATCAGATGGGAAGATGTGCCAAGAGCCTGACCTCCCTCCCTCTGTGTGCTGCCCCTCCTCCCCTCACCCCATAACAGCCTGTCCTGATATAGATGGACAGGGGACCGGTTTAAAATGACAGTCTCAAGTTCATTTAGGAAGAGAAGGCTAATTCAAAGAAACAGCAAGGCAAGCTTCCTTTCTCTGTAGGAATCATTATTATCCCCTTTGTCATGGCCCACCTGGGAGCCCATTTTGCCTTTAGATCCCGCTGGCAGAAGACCGACGATGAACTTTGCCGACATAGCATGTCTTTTATCCTTCACAAAGCCATTCGCAAGGACTTCTTTCAGAGCTATCTCTACCTGCTGGAAAAAATTCCCCTGGGTAAGTGAGTCGGAGCTACTAGATAAGAAACGAGAAATGACTGAAGGGATTGTGTGAGGTCATGGGGCTTCTAGAGAAGAATTTAAAACAAGGACACTTTTCAGATAAAAGCTCCACAACCAACGTCACTGGGCTGAAATGTTTCAATGGAATTCTTTCATGGAGAATACAAAGATTAAGTGCCTAATATAGAATCAGAACTTTATTTTGGGATTTCCATGCACCCTCAGGCACCATGATTTGCTTCTCCGGGTGTGCGTTGCCTGAGTATCAGGCTTATAAAAACTCAGACATGTTTAATAGTTACAAAAAATTCTAATTGTGCAAACTTGATAACTCAAAGATGAGAGTATTAACGCATGAATGTATTGAATAAGAGTTAAAAAGAAAGATTGAATAATAATAATAATAATAATAGATCAAAATGTGCTTGGGTATGTGTGTGTGTTTTTGTGTGTGTGCTTGTGTACACACTTACAATCCTCTTTGGTCTTCTTGAATCACAAGAATCGTCAGAGAGCCTAAAAGAAGATTTTAGCTTGGTTTTTGAATATTAAGAGAAAAATAGTCTGTCTCCATTTTTATAATTTCCTCTAGTTTTCAGAGAATTAGACAATAGAGCAATAAAAAGCTTATCTGGTTTGCCTACTCTACTTTTCTCAGCCTCTGTAAAAGCAGTTACTTCAGGGCACCCTAAATAGCACTGAAGAGGAAATAACTTACCATTAAAGAGTAAAGTACCCTTCTCCCTTTGATTTATGTTTTCCCCCAATGAAAGCAAGAAGGCTGTGTATCAGCCTAGTCTGTTTTTTTAAGGTCGTCTGAAAGCCCCATTGTGTACTTGATGTGGTCAGGGTTTCCAGCGGTGGAAGCAGCTACATAATTCTTTGTATTGCATTCAGGCAACTGAATGTTAGCAGCCTGAAACCTCTTTTTGTAAATCCATTTATGAGGAATCTTTAATTCTAAACATGCAAATACCTTCATCTCATATTTACATAACTTTCTTATAAAACTTTTTTTCATCTATGACTTAATTTGTTTCTCACAGTCATACTATAGAATAGATAGGGTAAGTTATCTTTATTTTTTTTCTGTCTACCTTCCCTCCTTCTTCCTTCCATCTTACTTTTTCAAATGAGGGAAATAAAATTTAGAGATGATGATATTTAATCTACATATAGTAATACCAAAGTAAAGACAAAGTCCAGGGCTTTTTCTGGTAGACCATACTGCCCATGAGTAATTCTTTTAGGACATATAATACATCTCATCTACGTCCAAAAGGAAAAAAAAAAGAGTGATTTATGTGGAAGGTGATGATGTTCTAGTCACTTTATATACTACCAGCGCATTGCTTTTCTGGAGACACTCTTCAGGCCATACCTCAATAAGAGCAGCTTGGTAGCCTTGGTTTTATTAGATGGGAGAAAGATATCAATTACAATGGCTAAGAAGAGAGTCATTAACAGGCAGATGACTGCCAAACTTTAAAAATATTTACTAGAGAGAAAAAGAAGTCACCTTTGAAAGCAGCTGAAGATGAATTAAAAAGTTAAATACAATAGTCTCTTCTGAAAAGCAAATGAAAATTAATTTGGCACAGTGGACTATAATTTATATTTGGCCTCAATCCCTTTTTTTATCCAATAAAATCATCTTGATTTTGTGTTTTTCTTCTTTATAAATATGCTAATGGTTTATCAATAATTTTCAACCTTTAAAAAACATATTATCAAAAGGCAAAGTTTTTGACAAAATATTCCATGGAAGCCCAATGTAAAATACAGGAAAAAGTGAAACTTTTCTGCATAGAATTGGGGGCAGGGCCCCTTTCTTGGTCTGTTCTCTTAGACTTACCAGTGTCTCCTGAGGCACTTCTATAATACCTGCGGGGTTCCATAAACACAGTTTGAAAACCATTACTCTATTCGAAGCCAACATTGCCTTCATTTTACTTATTTGCAGCTTTCCGTAAATGCGCATTGCTTATTTGCTCTGACCCTGATGATTTGACCAGAATCAGTTTCCCCTGAGAGTCACAGAGCTAGCCTCATTCACAGTACCTCTTTGATGATTAGAAATTGAGGGCTATGTTAGTCAGTATGGACTGGGATATGCTGCAGTAACAAATTAACCTTGGAATCTTGGTAGCTGAACAATAAAAATTATTTTTTTCTTCCTATCATTTTCAACATGCATTATTGGAGGTAGAGGGGAGATTATATTCCACATAGGCCTTCAGGGATGCAGGATGATAGAGGCTTTTCCAGCTGGAACATCAGTAGTCACTAGGCAAGGAAAGAGAGCAGCCAAAGTTTTGTCTACTAACTCTTAAATGCTTCAGCCCCAAGGGACATCTATTACATCTGTTTAGAATTCATTGACCAGAACTACAAGAATGTTGGGCAATATGAAGGGAGCACAAATATATCTGATCACTAGCAAATGTTTCTGCCACAGGGAAAAATGTTGTATTTTAGAGATAGAAATACCAGACAGTTCTTATTTTTTATCAGTTCAGTCATATTCAATGTAAGAGACATTTATGGAATTTCATTGTTGTCAAAATACTCTGCATTAGAAAGGATTCCATTCTTCAGGATTTTATAATGTGATAATGGATGCAAATCTACAAATAACTGTGTAATCCTTTTAAACTAAGGGTGCAGGGAAATCAAGCTGTCAGTTCTGTGAATACTTAGATTTTTATAGTTTTTTCCTCTAATGGCAGAAGCCGAATGTTCAGAAATGAATCTGCATGTAAGTCTTATCTGCCAGTCCAACTTTTATTCAATTAGAAAGTTTCCCTTAATCCTTGATTCACTCATTTAAACTTTGTTTTTTTTCCCCAGGAGGTTATAACTTATATTTATGGAATGCATTTGCATGTATTAGTTCACCTATTAGATTCTCATTTCCATGAGAATAGAGACTCACCTATCTTTCCCTCTTCTGTATCTATTTAGCATTTATCGTGGTTCCTAGAACATAGGAAAGACTCAATAAATATTTGTTAAATGAATTAAATGGCTTCTTACTAATAATTAATTGCAGATGAGCAAAGTTCTGAGTTCAAATTTTTGCACTGCTACTACTAGAAAACTAACCTCTGCAAGTTACTGAAGCCTCTGAGTATAATTGTTCTTAAAACTATAGCAGAGTTGTTTGAAGGATTAAATGCAGGTATATATGTAAAAGTCATTCTCCTCAGTAAATATTAGTTTCTTTATTTCCTTCCGCTGAGCCAGGCCTCTTAAAGTCAACATGTAGCTTTCTCCATGACAGGCACTACCAAAGACAGTAACCGTAATTTAAAGTATGAGAGTTTTCAGGCTGCAGTATTAATTATGTTTTTCAGTCTCAAAATAAAACTTAGCCAGAAGAGATGCTTCCTCTCCAGCTCTGTTGAGGTGTTTTAGAGTCAGCTTCCTCTACTCTTGATGATTGCAAGACTTCATAGAAATGAAAATAAAGCCCTTCTTTCAAAAAGGTTAGGGAACTTCTCCTGTAGGGTCTGCACAGAGAGTTTGTTGTTTGGGGTAATTATATGGAAAGAACGGTGGCTAACCAGACTCTTTGATTCCTTCTTTCCTTCCTTCCTTCCTCTCTCCAACTGCCTACATTAGGCAGCCAGTCTCACTCCAGCACACTATGTGGTGGCATTCATTCATGGGGAAATCTGCTGAAACATCCCTGGCAAGCTTCAGAGATTCATGGAATAGCAAAGACATGTATACTAAAAATCTCCAGTGGAAGACTTAGCTATGCTGTTGAACTTAACAGATCTTCAGAAAGAAGAACAAGCCCCCCATTGTTCTCAGTATTTTGCGTATATTATCTCAGTTCATTTTCATAACATCCCTATTCAATGTGCTGTTATTTTTCCCATATTATATTTCAATAATTGATACCCAGGGGAGTTAAGTAACTTGCCGAAGATCCTATGGTGGTGAGCTGAGTAGCAGGATTAGAACCCATGTGATCTAACTCCGTGATCTTTTTTTAAGCACTGCATAATACAATGTAAATGAAAACTTAACTAATGTGGGCAGCAATATAAGTTTTACCATATTTTATGATTTGACAGGAATAGAGAACAAACATAGCCTATGAAGAACATTGGCTTTCTATTGAGATAATCAAGACAGGCAGGCCAATAAGTAGGTTTATATAATTTAGTTACACCAACCAAATTTCTGTTAGAAACTTGGTGTGAACAAATTTCCCAAAAGTGGCTATTCGTGAGCCAATAGGAAACAGAACAGGAAAAGAAGTTAATATAAATCTCCAGTGTGTATACCAGTGCTCAAAGGGCCCAACTGGAGATGTTGTGATAACATCTCCATGTTTAGTAACAATCATTGAGGGATAAGTTAACACTCAGCGATTCTTCTAGTGCTATCCACATTTCTGAACACATAGAAGTCAACGGATATTCATTAATTATATTATTGAGCAAAGTCTACTACTCTCAGACATTGTTAAAGCCTTAGCCCAACTTCATGTGTAGAACAGTGGTTCCATGTGAATTAACAGAAAGACCAGGAGCTTTGCATTTAAACAGGCACATGCTAGGACCTGGTTATAGTGTTTCTTTTCCATGTGATACTAAGTTACAGAGTCTCTCAGATTCTCTTACTCATCTATAAAATGATGATTATAATTCTAGTCTTATAGAATCATTGTTAAGATTAAGAGAGAAAATGTGAAGAGATGACACGAAAGTACCTAGTATAATGCCTGGCACACAGGAGGTATCCTTCCTTGCACTGATCTCTTTTCAGAAGAATCAGTCTCTGAGGAGGAAATTAACTCTGGCTTTTAACTTTGATGGCAAAGATGTAGATTGTTTAGCTACCCCTTTGCCATCAAAGTTAAAAGCCAGAGTTAATAACAACATTTCCTATAAAGCACTTGGAACTTCCAGAATAAAACTTACCATGCAGCTATTGGTATTTCAAAAATTTATTTCGTTCCTTTGATAAGCACTGCGGCAC